GCCCAGCTAAATTTGTTTTGCATGTTTAGTAGAGATGGGGTTTCACCATGTTGGCCAGGCTGGTCTCGAACGCCTGACCTCAGGTAATCCACCCACCTCGGCCTCCCAAAGTGCTGGGGTTCCAGGCGTGAGCCACACACCTGGCCAGTAATTTATTTTATATATATACACACCTTAAAAAAGAAAAATAATCCTATCGAGAGTGCATTTATTAAAGATCAGGTAACTTGTTGCAGAGAAAATACACTCAATAAAAAATTCATTCTCTCTAGTACTCAAATAAAAGGCAGATAATATAATGAACTACTACTTTCACCAATCAAAATGGCAGGGAGTTTTTTCTTTACTATTAATAGAGTAAGATGAAGTGCAAGGAAATAGGCACTCTCATAAGGTTTCAGTGGGAGTATATATTGGTGTAATATTTCCAGCGAATAATCTAGTAATATATATGTCCTTATAATTATATATATTTTTGACCCAGCAATTCTACTTCTGGGAATTTATCCTAAGAAATAATCACTGGCCAGGTATGGTGGCTCACGCCTGTCATCCTAGCAGTTTAGAAGGCAGAGGCAGAAGGATCTCTTGAGCCCAGGAGTTTGAGACCAGCCTGGGCAACATAGTGAGACCCTGTCTCCACAAAAAGAAAAAAAAAAAAGAAATAATCATTGATACATGAATATCAATTCCTGTATTTCTTATAATAGAAAAGAGAATGAAAATAACTCAAATGTCCAACAGCAGGTGGCAAAATCATCTTTAATTTTATGGTTGTTTGTACCAAAATAATTACCAAGTGAACATAAAGAAAGATGAGTTATAGATTCATTGAGAAAAATATTTATTTATTAATAATGTCATGCATTGTGCTAGGAGTCGTAATACAACGAGGATTAAAGATAAAGCATACTGTCTATGGGAGGGGGTGGGGAGGAGTGATAAGTTCATTATGGTAAAGCTACGGTCAAATTCTATGGCACGACAGAACTTTTGCTGACCTTAACCAGACTGGAGAAGTAGGAGGGTTTTTGTTTGTTTGTTTGCTTGCTTTTTGACAAGTGATGTTCAAGCTAAGTACCAGAGGTTTTCACAAGTAGAAATTAACTATGGGAGAGAAGCTTGGATGTCCACTAAAATCCTGGCTCCTCCTCCAGAGAACAGTGTTTGTTCTAGGAAGTGGCTGCCTCCCTGTGATTGGAATGTGAGTGAATATAATGTGTAACACTGCAAGAAGCTTCTAGGAAGCTAAGCAAGTATGCTTTCTCCATACTTTCTCCTTGCCTTTCTGCTGACTGGATTTAGACAAGAGTGAAATGCTGACGAATGGCAGAGTCTGGGTCCTTCTACCAAGTGAAAGCAAGCCGCTTGCTGACCAGGGACGCCTACCTTGAAATTGTTACGTGAGCAAGAAATAACTTTTCTACGTTAAATCAAGAAAATGTTGGGATCTGTTTGTCACTACAGCTAGCAATAGGCTAATACATGTGACTTTTTATTCTCAAATAATGTAGTAACTCACTTAAATATATTCACTAAGCATGTACGATATACACATCAATGTGTCAAGTGCACAAAAAAACACAAAAATAACTAAAGAGATTCTGCCTGCACAGAATTTCCAGTCCAGAAGAAAAAACAGTAGCCACTTCTACAACTCTAATACAAAGCAGTGTGTATAAATTAAATCCTTAGGAGATATATATAGTAGTAGAGGATTTAAAAGGAGGGAGATATTACTTTCAGGGGGAGGTTCAAAAAAGACTTTGAAGAAATTAGAAAATGGCATTTAAACAGGATTTAGATGGCAGAAATGTAGGTAGAGGCATTCCAGAAAAAGATATAGATGGGAAAGATGTCACAGAGAATGTAATGTAAGTACTCTGGATTGCCTGGAGGGAGGGGTTCAGATAAAGGCAGTGTGAGAAATAATTAAATGATAAATTGGATGAGATTACAGACAAATCTGAATGCTGGACAAAGTGGTCTGTATTTCCTTGAGTAATGTGGTACCACAGAACAGACGTATGGTATATATTCTGAACAGAGGTATGGTTTCTATTCACAGTTATGCTTTAGAAAAATTAATATGGCAGAGACTGGAACCCAAAAGAGAAATTACAAGGCAATCATAATAGTCCAGAGTACTTAAGAGTGGTCATAGTGAGAATGCAAGATTGATTATTGAATTTGGGAGATTCGGCAGCAAAAAAGGAGTCAAAGCTAACTGAGGCTGGGAATTGAGGTAACTGAGAGGATTATGGAACCATGAATTAAATTCAAAGAGGACATGCTAGTCTGGAGGTGGAGGGCAACAAGGAGTTCTGTCTTAGAAAAAAGTGAGTACAGGACATCCAATGGAGATATATAATCTGGATCTATGCAGTAGGAATTGAGGTGCACAGGTCTGAAGATGAAAATGTTAAGAGTTATCTATTTACACGTGAGAAATAAGGCCAGAGACTGTAATAAAGTTGGCAAAGGAGATTTGAGAGAAAGAAGAAAAGCCAGAGATTTCTTTAAAATATATGCAAGGCAGGTAGAACAAAAGGCAGAGAAGGAATGGAGAGGCAGGAAGTTCAGGGGAACTAGCATCATAGGAAGCATTGGATCATGTCCAATTCTACAAGTTATTGGAGAAGGGAATTATTAATAACATTACTGTAACAGCAAATGCACAATCCAATTTAATCCTCAGGTCACCCAATCAAACACAGATTCCAGTCAATGACCAAGCAGGGATTCAGACCCTGCAAAGAACCCAGGCACTCAAGTAAAATGAACTTGGATTCTAATCTTAAATGTGCCCCTCAAAAGCTGTAGAACCACAGGGTCAAGAAAAAAATAATCCTGCCTCTGCCTCTCATAAGGTGAGGATTAAATTTTAAAATGCATGTGAAGTGTTCAGCACAGTACCTGACATTATAAACACTAAGTGGAAGCTATTCTCCTCTTTTGAAGAATAAATACAGATTTTTCTCAATACAGTCTGTTGAAAAAAAGATAAATCATTCAAGATTCTTAAAGGCAAGATTCTATCAACATTTTTAAATGTGCGTACATCTGACTTAGCACTTCTGCTTCAAGGAATTTATCCTGTAGAACTGTTCCCATGTGTAAGAATGTCTACTGTGGCTGGGCGTGATGGCTCATACCTGTAATCCCAGCACTTTGGGAGCCCGAGGCAGGCGGATCACCTGACGTCAGGAGTGAGACTACCCTGTCCAACAGGGTGAAACCCCATCTCTATTAAAAATACAAAAAAAAATTAATTACCCGGGCGTAGTGGCATACACCTATAATCCCAGCTACTCAGGAGGCTGAGGCAGGAGAACTGCTTGAACCCAGGAGGCGGAGGTTGCAGTGAGCCGGGACTGCACCATTGCACTCCAGCCTGGGCAACAAGAATGAAACTCTGTCTTAAAAAAATAAAAGAAAAAAAAAAGATTGTCTATTGTTTCATTGTTTGTAACAGGGAAAAACTGAAACCAATCTCAATGAGGAATGGTCACATAAACTGATACATCTGTACTATGAAATACTCAGTGTGGACCTAAGTAAATTGATATGAATGGTATTCTCCATCAAATCTTTTTTTTTTTTTTTTTTTTTTTTTTTTGAGACAGAGTCTCACTGTCACTCAGGCTGGAGTGCAGTGGCACGGTCTTGGCTCACTGCAATCTCCGCCTCCTGGTTTCAAGCGATTCTTCTGCCTCAGCTTCCTGAGTAGCTTGGATTACAGGTGCACACCACCACGCCCAGCTAATTTTTGTATTTTTAGTGGAGACGGGGTTTCGCCATGTTCGTCAGGCTGGTCTCAAAACTCCTGACCTCGTGATCTGCCCGCCTTGGCCTCTCAAAGTGCTGGGATTACAAGCGTGTGCCACCACGCCTGGCCCTCTCCATAAGTGAAAAAAGACATTTCTCGAAATAATTCATATATGATTCCATTATGACCAAAAAAAAAAAGGAAAAAAGTGGAAGAATGAACACCAAATTAATTCTAACAAGGATTAAAAAGTAAAGAAAGGCATAGACCTCTCCTTTCCAACTCCATATACTTCTGTACTGTTTCAATAAGTACTAATACATTATAATGTAATTTGAAAAATCTACGGAAGAACTTAAAAAAGGAAATGTCAGAGTATTGCTGAAGAAACACCATTGTAACAAGAGATTAACTCATTAACAATGTACATAACAAGTTAATAAACAGGAGCAAGAATTCTTCTGCTTCAGGGATTATAATACCCTAAAAGTGCTCACAAAATTGTTTGCATTTGTCTGGAGAGAAGTTCCAGTTTTTATGATGTCTATGACCCCAAAAAGGTTGTATGGGAGGGAAAATGACCAGTACAACAGAAAAGACTATCTATGTTACACAAATAATTTCTAGTATTTTTAACTCCTGGTGAGAAAAGTAACGCACACACAAACTATACGTAAATCAGAAATGGTTCAAAGTGAAGTTGGCAACAGAAACAGGGTTGTAACAATCTAACTGGGTTGGTTTCCCATGTCCCACTGCATGGCTGGGTGCAAGTGTGGGAGAAGGGAGACACAGGGGTAGGCAAGGGAAGAAAAGTAAACACATTCCCCCCGCACTCCAGTTTAAGCCTGGGAGGGTCAATCTGTAAGGGTGTGTCCACTTAAGGGATAGATATAAGTACTTACTTACCAGAGTAAGGGGTGCAGAAAGAATACACAGATCCGGCAGGCAGACCCGCTTCCCTCAATCTCATCCCCCGACCCCGCCTGGTAGCCTTCCTCAGGTCCTCATGCCCAGGCCTTTCTGCCAGCTCCCATCATAAAGTGCATCTAGAGCATCCTCAGAGTGACCCACGTGCCTCTCTGAGCCTCAGTGTCCCCTTTGTGGGAGGGAGTGGGACTAGATGACCTGCGGACCCGACCTCCCATTCAGCCCTGACCTGGCAAGTCCCCTGGCCCTCCCGCTCCTTGGCCAGGGCTCGTCCTGAGACGGGCCAGCCGTCCGCACTCACTGTGCCCGCAGCTGCACCGAGGGGAGGGACTTCTTTGCGATCCTGGCCCTTGGGGCCCAGGTCGGAGGCTCCGGCAGCAGTGGTGGCTGGGGAAGCGGGCACAGCGGGCAGTGTGGGAGCCAGCGGCAGGGTGGAGCCCACCCAAGCCCCCGGCCCAGTCCGGCCTTGTCGCGGGGCTGGCCACGGAGGCGGGGCTGGACAGGCGGTGCAGGTGGCCGCGAGCTCCCACGTTCACCGCTCCTGGGGTGAGCATGCCCCTCGGCCAGCAGCCCAGCGACGCTGGGCCCGGCCCGGCCAGCGTCTCCCGAGGCTGCAGCCCTGCCTGCCCGACGCGCACCAGTTGCTAGGCGCCCGGGGACTCAGGCCTCAGTTCCATAGGGCAAGGGGCCTGTTAGGGTTCAGGGCCATGATGGGTGCTTGGACAACTTGGGCAGCGGAAGCCACTGGGACCCCTCGACCAGCACTAGTGCCTCTGCCTTCAGGTTACTGCTGCCGGAGATGGGGGTGAGGTGGGGGAGCGAGCAGAATCAAGACTGGGTGAACACTGGTCAGTGGTGACACAAGGTGAGGCGCCCAATGGCAAACAGCACCAGGCAGCATGTATAGGGCGCGGAGGGGGCAGTTGGGCCAGTTTGGTGTAATTCAATTTTCTGGGTTGTTTGCACATCAGCTTGTGTCAAAGACTTATTTTTCAGGTTCAAAATAACCACGCTTTCCAGAGTACTGATGAGCTGTACCTTTCAAATGTTAGCCAGTTAATAATACCTGACTAGCCCAAATTAGGTAAATGACAATGACGAGTTCCCTCACCAGTCCGCCCAAATTCCATGTTCTGACTCCTTTGTTTTGGTTCCTTTGTAAAAGGCTAGGTGTGTGTGCCCTCTGGCTTGGACATCTAGCACCTTTTGCACAGTGGGTCTTAGCATCTCTGCTCTTGCCAGATAAAGTTATCATATAAAGCCTCTACCTTCATGACTTGACTCCCCACTAGAGCTGCAAGCTTATCCCTGGTTAATATGGTTTCAGTTCCCACAAAAACTCCTGCAACTGCTCTCAACACACTTTTCTCCATTCTTATTAAGCTCTACACTAACCTTTCCTAGGTCACTTGGTTACTTTTTTAACACTCAAATTAGGCCTGGAATTGTTAACACTGGCCCCACTACTTAGTTATGTGATCCTGGGTGAGGGAAAGTTAACCCACCTAACAAGGTAGGTTATAAAATCACATGGAGTATGCATATTAAAAATCACATGAAGTACTTAATTAGAAAAAAGTCTAGGGCTCATCCCAAAACCAATTACGAATTCAGTTCTGGGGTTGCAATCAAAGTGGAGAAACACTAACCTAGGATTATGTGGATCAAGTGATACACTGGCACTCAGCAAGTGATCAAATGTTTATTAAACAGTCTCCTCTTTAGTTTTGCTATCACATCTCTACCTGACACTTCAGGTGACCAAATTCTACCTCTTCTGTGAAACTTTCCAATCTTCACAGCATGAAGTATCTACTGTACTCTCCTAACATGGTTTTCTAGTATTACAAATCGTTATTCATACAAAATGTAATTTCTGAGTCCTCCAAAGTAAATTATATATACAGATATATATCCATAAATCCACACTTTACCCCATTCCTCCTTTTGCCATCCCCCATCACCAAATACTCAAGGACTACAATATGCCAGTAATTGAAGTCTCAAGATTTTAAATGGCTATTTTGCTGATGAGGTTAGATTCCCTTAAAAAAGTGAAGTGCCTACAATGCACCAGGTATTGTTCTAAGTGCCAGAAAAGAGAAAGCTAAGACTCAAACCTTACATTGGAGAACGGCTGGGAAAAGCAAGTCAACAGTTTCAGATAGCAATTAATGCTATGAAAAACAGTGATATAGGAAGACGTGTGTCAGAAAAGACCTTTTTCCAGAATGAGAAAGCCAAGTACCCAGACCTGGAGGCAGAAGTCACTTTTGAACAAACAATATAACTGGGGAGCCAGAAATAAAATATCAAATGGGCCTCCCAGTTTCCATGCCCTAATTACAGGGACCTTTAAATATGTTACCTTATGTAGCAACAAAAGGGACTTTGTAGATGTGCTTAAGTTAAGGATTTTGAAAAGGAGAGATTATCCTCAATTATTCAAGTAGCCCAATGTAATCACAAAAGTTTTTATATTAAGAGGGAGGCAGGAGGAAGATCAAAGACGATGTAAGCAGAGATGCCACCAGCCAAGAAATGCAAGGGGCTCCTAGAACTGGAAAAGGCAAACAAGTTTCTCTAGTCTTCAGAAGGAACACAGGCCTGCTGACCCCTTGATTGGGCTGTGAAACCTGTTTTAGATTTTTGACCTCCAGAAAAGTTAAAACAAATTAAGTCAATTAAGTTTATGGTGATTTGTTACAGCAGCAAAAGAAAACTAATACATTCATTTAACAGTGAGTACCTACTACATGTCAGCAAATGGGCAGAAATTAAAAGGCCTGGCCTTAAAGTATACTACCTAACAGAAGGGAGGTACACCTATGGGAGGAATGTGTTAGCTCGTTGACACCAAATCTGTAAGGAAAAACAGTGGGAGCAGAAAGCTGTCATCTTCACATGGAGGTGGGCCCAAAGATACCAGACACCCGCAGGAGGCTCTATCACATCCTATACATCCCCAAGGCACTCATTTCACTGTATCTGTTGCCTGTCTTCCCACTAGACCCACAACTGAAAGCAGAGGCTATTTTCCGTAATTCACTGTTGTATGCCCACATTAAGTGCTGAAGCTATACTGCACAGCAGCATTGAGCACTTTCGAGCTAGGCACTGCTCTAAGCCTTTTACATGACCTGTAACATTTAATCTTCATTAAAATCCTATGAAATTAGGCACAATTATCTCCATTTTGCTGATATGGAAACCGAGACAGAGATTATTTATTGGCCCAAGCTAATAAACAAGTGGAGACTGAATATGAACCCAAGCAGTCTGGCTCCAAAGCCAACACTCCTAATCCAGCCAACCACAAATGAACCTTCAAAGAAGTTACTAGGGTAACACTGGTTAAAGGACACTGAGTCCAAGACAACTTTATAAAAAATGAGATAGCTAGGGGACGATCCACTAGAGAAAGCCAGACCTTAGAAGGATAAACAGGAAACAAACATATATGAGGTGAAATCTTGTAGAACCTACTGGGTGCCAAAACCCCTAAGGTTGGTTAGGCCTTCCAGAGGATCCCTTGAAAGTAATGACATTTATAAGAGGTGAGTTTCCCAATCAGGTGAATCTGCTTTTGAATAGGTTCCACCAGCTCATGAACATTTTCATACCTATTACTGTTCCTAACAATCCTCTTATAAAAGCAGATTGGTTATCCCACTTTACTCTCAAGAGTTCTCTATGGGAATCCCGGTTCTCTGCAACCCCTCCCACATTTCCCCATCCTCTCTGGCCCCAGGCCACACAGGCTATACAGTCAATACTTTGCCCACTTCATTTTAGGTATTCTTACACAATCTTAGCCCTCCCTGACCAGCTGAAACAGTTTTAAATACTTTGGGTGATAATGTATCAACGTAGTAATTGACTGTAACAAATGTACCACTATGGTGGTGAGGAGTCAACAGGAGGTTGGGCACATGACAACTGGACATGCAGGTTGGGCGACACTGGGCATATGGGAACCTTCTCTACTTTCCAGTTTTACTGTGAAATGAAAACTGCTTTAAAAAATAAAGACCATTAATTTAAAAGAAAAAAAAAAGCTTTGCTAAGTATCACTCTGTATATGAAGTGCTTATTCCTATCCCAAGACTTGCCACATTTCATGCACCCACCCATCTGCACCTAGATTAAGCAATATGCCATCTGTACAACTTCATCCCATCATTAGTCTTAATTCTGACCCTGCAGAGGCCACTGATGAAGAACTCAAAGAAATTCTATTTGTCTAGCAACTTTCGAATATTAAAAAGCAATAAATGACTATGGTGCAGTAGTACCAAAATATTTACTAAGGGAGCTGTTTCACAGTGCATCAGACCTTTGACACAACTAAATGAGGACCACAAAAATTTTTACTTTCATTCTATATACTTCATGTTACACTCTACATTGTTCACTAATCTAGGTGAGACAATACATGAAATATAAAGGAGTTATTTATAAAATACCAAAACCCTCAAGTTTTTGCCCATTAATTTCACCAGATGCTCTGAAATAATTTGCATCCCTGGGCACAAATTTCATTTTTTCCTTCATAATACCCACAGTATGTAACAATTATTAGTAACTCACATAAGTATGGCAAAAGATGCAAAACAAGAACACAAAAATGGAAGGCAAAAGAAAAACAACACATTTATATGGTAGTTTATAAACAAGCGAAGGCCCAAGAAATAAATTTTAGAAACTGAATTCAATTTTTTCCATAAACCAAGGTTGGATTACTGTACCTACAAATTATGTACAAATGCTTGTGAAACAGGCTTAGAATAAACCCATTGTGAATCACTCAGCACAGTTAAAAACAAAATCTTTTGTAGAGAAAAGCCTTTTAAAAACCTAAGAGATGTTTTTCACAGACTCGACCCTGATTTTGCACAAAACGGGCAGATGATTTGGCTTAGTTTTATCACACACCAGACTTACCACAATAGTTAAGGGAACACAGAGGCAGGCTAACCACCAAAAAAATCACAAATACAACAATGTATTTCATTTTGAGAGCAGGCACTGTTTATTAAACTGACGAGACTCGAAAAATAATCATGGTAGACACCTGAAAGGAAAAAATAAAACCATTAGAAAACACTTTAGCCAGCTAACAATTAACATAACCTAGACAGTTAAAAAGTAACGATTGAGTTTACATTTTTAAGATCTCCCAATTTCCATCTTTAAAGACTCCTCCAAACAGGCTTTTCCTTTCCTCCAGAAAGGTCCTCAAAAGCTAACCAACTGTAATCATTAAGTAAATAAACCAGTTGATCTCGCTCCCCACAAAAGCACTGATTAAAATTCAGAACCCCCTCAATATTTAATGGGAAAAGTATTCAAGATTACCAGCACTTGCACTCTAGCGTTAACTCGACCTTTCTCAGGATGAGGTCTCTCACCTTAGTTCATTCTTCTAATAAGCCTGTTGATCTGGTCCTCCCTGTTGCCAGCATCTCCACCTTCTACAAAATGGGTGGTCTTTTTCTTCATTCCACCTCGTGGAGAAGATAACTTGAAAGGCCACAGGAAGTTATTTGCCTCTTTGAAGCGTTTTCCAACAGTATAGATCTCATGAATCAGATCCTCCATGCAGATGATGCCATATTTACCTAAATATTTTAAGGTTAAGATTATTAAAGTTGCAAAAAGTTTTGAATTAATTGATAGACTTTAGGACACCCAACAAGAGCAACTGTAGGCTGTGACATAAAAACACACCAGGAATAAACAAGGTAAATGCATGGCTTTATGAAGATAAGGTTCAAGCTAATGAAACCATGCCTTACGTTTTCTTTAAGCTTAACCAAGAATCACAGGGAATATATGAAGATTCACAATAGTGAGAAATGTACAGCCACAAGAGGATAGGAAGTTACCGCATGGTCAAATTTTCCCCCAAACAGAACCTACCAAGAGATCGAGCAATCAAAGCGTTATCTGTCAAAGCAATTCGCTTCTTATTGATTTTGCCATAACCACGCTTGTAGATTAGCTCATTTACTGACTTCAGATTGGGGTACCTGAAGTGAAAAAGGAAACATAAATAAGGTGACCACTGTTAAAACATCTAAAATTCATGTTGACACACAGCCAATTTACCAAACAGAAATCAAAGGAGAAAAGAGACTTACCCCCATGCAATATATGGCTCTACAATCCTCAGCATGTTAATCGAAGCCTTGTTGAGCTTCACAAAGGTTCCATTGAAGATTTGACGAAGGCGCAAAAGCTGCAATACCTTTCGGACCTTTGGGCTCACGCCATTGATACTATGGTGAAAAGGGACCAGAAATGCATTTGCCTTTCATCGAAATTTTTATTAATACTAACCATTATAGTTTGGAATATCGAGTCCTACACCTAAACAGACAGGAATCCTCTCACGTTACACACTGAACTTCTGTATTCGATTAAGAGAAGGGATAGGAGCGTGAGGAACATGGCTTGCAACTAAACCATTAGTGATCACCACCCTCCTTGTTCTAGCTTCCCCTAAAATATTGTTACTCCAGTGTTTCAGAATCAGGGCTCCCAGAAGTAATGTGAAGTTTTTTTGTTTGTTTGTTTTTTACCGGTGCCAACTCTCCCTTTCAAACCTGAATACAGTAAAACTGAATTTACCCTCTGATCCTGATGACAAACGCCAATTTGGGTTCAGCAGGTACATAGAAGTTGCCAGCTTTTCTTGCCATCCTCGCCATTCGAATTTCAGTTCTGTACATCTGCCTATATTCCTTGTGATAGTGCTTCGCTTTTTCATAGATAAGCTTCCTCCTTGCCTTTCGAAGCTGAAAACCAATCATCAGTTATTCATGATTTTTAGCTCTCAATCACAATTAGCAATGCTAGTTATTAAAAAGAATACGAAAACGCGTTTCCTTTAAATATTTTCTTGCCACAGTATGCAATCACATCCCCCACCACCTTCAGATTGTAACATTAGGAAGCTAAGCAATTACTCGGTACAGTTACGAAGTAAATCTTGCCAAGAACATTCGCCTCATTCTCAATCCCAACAAGGCGTCTCCTTATGTGCTAGTGCCTCAAAAAGTTTACTTACCATCTTTTGGGCAAACTTCTTTCTCAGGCGCTTTATCTTCAGCTCTGCGAAATTCCTTCGCTTTTTCTTAAGGGTTTCTGGCACAGCAGGAACCTTCTTCTTCTCTCTAACGTTAACAAGCAAAAACCTTATCAATAGCTCAAAAAGCTCACAGTCCTGTATTACTCCCGTACTGAGCAGTGTTGTTTAACAGAAATGCTGTCACTGACTTTAGTCACTCGTATAACTTTACTTGCTCTGGCATGCTACAGTGTAGGATGCACATTTTAGCTCCATGTCAGTAACTTTTAACACCAACCACATTGCCTAAAACCCAATCACAAATATGACACAATAGCAATACGCTTTTACCTATTTCAACCAAGAGGCCCGGCCTCCGACGACTAAATTAAAAAAAACAAAAAACACACCAACAGCCGAATAACAAAATGTTCCTCCCCATAATGTTCCCAGGACGAGCCTCACGGGGACGAACTACAAATCCCAGCTTAAAGACTGCTGCAAGGCACTGATCCCCGGACTTTAAGCGCAAAAATAAAAATAAAAATAAAAGGCAAGCCACCATCACCCTGGTTCAATCAGGATCCACATGTTGAAAGCAAAGGCCTAGCGGCAGGGACGCCTGAGCCAAGCACCAGCCAAGGACGAACCCAATTCTGAGGTTCTGCGCCTACCCCCAAAGACCCTCTACCGAGGACTGGGCCGTCAGCCAACCAACGGGTTCCACACACATTCCAACTCGACATCTCGTTCCCGAGATCTCCAAAACCTCTGTCCTATAGCCGCCTGCATCCCCATCCTAGCCTCGGGTCCCCACTGGTGTCACAAAGCGTCACAAACAAGCAGGAAGGTGGGCAAAGGTGCAAGCTACAGCCAGAGAGAGAAAAAGTGACTCAAAAAGTATCTGGCTCTGGAGATGGAGAAGGATTCTCGAGAGGACGTCAAACTTACTCCGCACCCTCCATGGTTCCAGCCGGGAAAAGAGGAAGTTGGCGCATGCGCACTGTCCACTTAAAGACTTCGAAAGAGAAGCCCCACGACTCATAGGTGTCTTAGAATAAGCCGGAAAAGAATCCAGAACTAAAAAGCCTCCTTGCAGACGCAAAATTAACAACTCCCTGATTTAGCCTCTTTCAACCAACTTTCGGGTAAAACTTGTTTGAAGAAAATATATGCATTTGATTACACTTTTTAATCAATTCAAGAGCAAAGGATGCTGACACCTCGGCAACTCCGGGTCCTAATCTCCAGGCTGCGCTGACAAGATTAGGCTCGGGTTCCTCCCCACAATGTTCCCAGGACTAGCCTCATGGGGACGAACTACAAATCCCAGCATGCAGCACTCCTCGCCCGCCCGGCGGGAGGGCAACGCCTGACCCGGACCGCAGGCAAGCACCGCGGCGGCGGTTCCAGCCAGGAAAATGCGAGCCTTTTGGGCCACGTTCCAAACGGCTAGCTGCAATTCGAAGTCACTTTTGGCCGCCCTCCCAGCTCCCTGCCGCGGTAGTAGCAGACTACACCCCTTTCGCCGCGCCGCGAGGTCCTTGTCGTCTCGCCAGCCCACAGGGCTGTCTTCCGCAGCGCCTGATCGCAGGCGGGGCGGTCCGGAGTGCCCTGGTTAACGAAAAGTGGCGAGCCAGGGAGCAGCGGGGACTGGACGGCCGGAGGAAGATGGCCGGGGCTCTGCTGACTGCCGAGATCGGCAGGCGGAGGCCGGGACACCCCACGGGAGGGGGCGTGAGCTGCGAAGGGAGGTGCGAGGAGGGCTGAGGTTGCGGCCACCGCCGTGTGAGAGGGGCTACCCCGCTTGGCTCTGCGGACGCTAGCGGGCGGGGGGCTGGGCCGGGGGCGGGGTGCGCCCGGGGGCGGGGAGGCCGGGCGGAGGGAGGGCCGATGCCGAGGCTGGCGCGGGCTCTTCCCGGTCGCGGGGTTATATAGCGCGGAGCGTGGAGCCCGCTCAGAGCCGGCCCGGAGCGCTCCGACTTGCAAGCGGGCTGTGCTGCGGAGCCCGGTGCCCGAGTGACAGCCGCGGGGAGTTCAGGGCCGGAGGACGCGAGCCCTCAGGGGCAGCTGCAAGGCGTTGGGCAGCGCTCGCCTGCGCCGAGCGAGTCTCCTCTTCCTGGCGCTCCGCCGCCCCGCACCCCACTCTCCCACCCTCTCGCAACTTGGGTCGAGTTGACAACTCCCGCGGCGACCCGCTGGCCCGTGCCGCCTCCGTTGCGCACCCCTCCCCGGGGGTGAGAGAGAGCAGGCTCGCCAGCTCCGAGGACGCTCGGGCGGCAGCTGCTTGGCCATGAGGGCAGCGCGAGTCGTCTAACTCGCGGCTGTCACCGCCACTGCAGCGGAGCCGGCCGGCTGGGCGCTGCGGGACGGGCGGGCGGCTGCCGGCAGGAGGCGCCGAGCCGGGTGACTGCCGCGGCGGGCACAGTCCGGGGCCACAGCGCCGAGCCCGGGCGGGAGTGGCCCCGCGCAGGCGGGGAGCCGCGCCGCGCACTCCAACCCTGCGGGCACATCGGGGGCGGGCGCGGGGCGCAGCCTTCTCGTCCCGGCCTCTGTGACAAGTGCGCCGGGGCCGGGAGCCCGACTGCCGGGCTCAGGGTGGGCGCGGACGCAGGCACTGGGCTCGTGCGGGGCCCCGGGCGTCGCGATGAACATCGTGGTGGAGTTCTTCGTGGTCACTTTCAAAGTGCTCTGGGCGTTCGTGCTGGCCGCGGCGCGCTGGCTGGTGCGGCCCAAGGAGAAGAGCGTGGCGGGCCAGGTGTGCCTCATCACCGGCGCCGGCAGCGGCCTGGGCCGCCTCTTCGCGCTGGAGTTCGCCCGGCGCCGGGCGCTGCTGGTGCTGTGGGACATCAACACGCAGAGCAACGAGGAGACGGCTGGCATGGTGCGCCACATCTACCGCGACCTGGAGGCGGCCGACGCCGCCGCGCTGCAAGGTAACCCGGACCCGCGCGGGAGCATTGTTGGGTCAAGCCTCTTTCCACCCCGCGCCCTACCACGGCAGGCCCCAAACCCCGCTGTGGGGTCAGCCCGGCTGCGGAGGAAAGCAGCACCCCACCGGTCTTTCGGGAGACGAGTGGAATTTGCTCCCTGATAAAGGAACGCGATCACCTCTGTATTACCAGGGAGAAGGTGCCCAGTCCTCGCGGAGGTTCGGTCTCTTTGGGGACCACGGAGGCAGGGGCGGGTTCCTAAGCCCTTTGGGGTAGGGAAGGCGGAGGGAACTTGTTACCACAGGTTTGGATCCCAAAGAAATGTCTCGCTCCGACTTAGAAGCGGCGCGATGGGAAACTGAAGTGTCTTTGGGAAGTTCTGACTCGACTGAAGAAGTGTCTGTGTTACTGTGGTCTGAACCCCTTAAACGAGAGCAGTATTGACGATTTACTATAAGTTTAGCCTGAGGAACATAATTACATTGTTTCGCCAGCGATAAGTGCTTTAGTTACATTCCCTGAGCGTGATTGAAAGACGCCTTGCTTCCTAAGAGAAAGCTCTTGGAGAATTTAGGCTTCGTTGTAAATTTCTTGCATGTTTTTGGTCACCCCAGGAAATCTGCATTTCTGGATACTTATTAACTAACCTGAATCTGAGGTTTTTTTTTTGTTTTTTTTTTTTTTTTTTAAGCCAAAGCAAAGTCCATAACCAACCATAAATATTGGTCCAGGAAATTTGATAATGGCTCTTGCTTTTTAACAAAATTTTTCATTTTTAGGGAAAACATTTACCTGTACGGAGAAAATTGACTTGGGCACTTCTCCCCTGTATTGATAATTTATCACCAAACTTATTGATACCTGCGTTTTTAATTTAAGGGTGAAAAGGTACCATTTTCATTGGTGGTATGGAGGGGTAGCAAATACAGATTTTTGTGCTCCCTGCCAAAACCTAAAAGATAAGGGTATTCATTTTCCAGGATACCGATTTTGGTTTTTAAATTGTCAAGTTCTTATGTGGTAAAATTGCATATTTACCTGTAACTTGATTTGTGAGAGTACTTCTTAGAGGAGTCAGCTAGCCCAGTTAGAACAAGTCAGTGACCCCTACTTCTTCATTAAAAATGGTGGATTCATTTCTTGGCTTTGGATGAATTTAGATTATTAATTGCAGTTTTGATTTGTGAGTCTTGAAGTGAGTTTCTATTTTGAGGGTTCTCTTTTTTTTTTTTTTTTTTTTTTTTGAGACGGAGTCTTGCTCTGTCACCCCAGGCTGGAGTGCAGTGGCCGGTCTCAGCTCACTGCAAGCTCCTCCTCTCGGGTTCACGCCATTCTCCTGCCTCAGCCTCCCGAGTAGCTGGGACTACAGGCACCCGCCACTTCACCCGGCTAGTTTTTTGTATTTTTTAGTAGAGACGGGGTTTCACCGTATTAGCCAGGATGGTCTCGATCTCCTGACCTCATGATCCGCCCGTCTCGGCCCTCCCAAAGTGCTGGGATTACAGACTTGAGCCACCGCGCCCGGCCTGAGGGTTCTCATACTAAAGACTAAGAGCTGTTTTTCTTGGGCCACTGTTTCCCCAAAAAAGAGGAGTGTGTAGTGTGTGTGTGTTGTTCTCTGAGCTCTGGGCTGAGATCAGTTCTTTGCAGGTGTCTTTAGCTCCAGCAAGCTGATCCCATGTGGTCTACTTGTATTGGGCTTGTCACAATTACATGGCTTTCCCCTAAGCAAAGTTATCCAGTAAATTGCTGTAATTCCCAAAGACTTCATGGGAGGAAGGCAGCTGTAAAGCTCAGTCGTTGGCAAGCCTTGCAGCGTTAGAAATTTGAAGCTCACTGTAGTATTTTTGTTTTGTGTGATCTTTGTCCTACTGATCGCCATGTGACTCACTTTCTGCACTCCCTTCTCTTTTGCATGTTTTCTCCTCATCTGGACTTCTGAGGACAGCTGGGAATGGTGAGGAAGAAATTCTGCCCCACTGTAACTTGCAGGTTTTTACGTACACCTGTGATGTGGGGAAGAGGGAGAATGTCTACCTGACGGCTGAAAGAGTCCGCAAGGAGGTTGGCGAAGTCTCAGTCTTGGTCAATAATGCTGGTGTGGTCTCTGGGCATCACCTTCTGGAATGTCCTGATGAGCTCATTGAGAGAACCATGATGGTCAATTGCCATGCACATTTCTGGGTAAATATAAACATCCTTGTTTTCTTTGCTGGGCCCTCCTCAATGAGAAGGTTGGGAAGGAGAGAGACTTCAGTGCCAGCCTGAAAGGAACCTGTACTCTTTCACCGCGAGATCTCCTTAGCTCTTACCTATGGTAAACTGCAGTGTATGCTGGTTACTATTAGTCGTTTTGTCCCCGCCCCCACCCCAGCCTCACCCCCCAACTCAGTATTTTTGAGAGGGCAGAGGATTGAACATTTTGAACTAGTTTGAAAGATTGCCATAAAAATAACAAGAGGGAGCGTAAAACCCTGGGTTTGTTTATTTTACTTTCTGTTGAGTTTATAAAACATTGGTTGTTCTTATGAATTCCTAAAGTCAGGATTTAGGCTTCCAAATTACTGCTCAGCCACATTTTGGAAAGTGCCAAAGATTCTGAAATCAACATTTGTGCTCTGTTGGGAGTGGCCAGGCCACCCTGGCAGTCACTTCGCATCCCCTGACCATCCACAGGGTCCAGGGCATCTTCCTGTTGGAGGACGCCTCAGGACTCTCTTGGGTTAGACAGTGCCTCGCAAATATCACCCTGATAGGACCCTAGAGAGGGAAGTGAGGTGGTGAAACCTGGTAAGCTGGGGATTTAAACGATGTCCACTTCTCACCATTAAACAATGTCAGGATCTACGGAGCGGGGCAGGGCCTTCTGCTGCTCTAGGGGCAAAGGTAATCCCAGTTTTTCAGTTCAACTTGTCTTCAGTAAAAGTAGGTGTGACTCTCTCCCCTATAACTGCACACTGCTGATCCACTTTGTGCTCTTTTTCCTCACAGTATTTTCCCTTTACTTTTGTAGACAAATAAGAGTCAATAAAGAAGGAGTAAAGAAATAGGATTCTACTTTTTTTTTTCCATAGGCGGATTAGCCTTCTAATAGAACACAACAAAGAACTGTTTCTCCTAAATAGGTCACATTAAACCTCATTAATTTTTTAGCAACTGCTTAAAAACTTAATCTGGCTTTAGAGGTACTTATTCAAATGTTGCACCTCAAACATCAAACCTTTTCTCTGCTCTTGGAGAAGCTTATTTTGATGTTTTATTTTTAAACATGAACTTTATTTATTTATTTATTTATTTATTTATTGAGATGGAGTCTCTCTCTGTTGCCCAGGTTAGAGTGCAGTGGCGCGATCTTGGCTCACTGCAACCTCTGCCTCCCAAGTTCAAGCAATTCTCCTGCCTCAGCCTCTCAAGTAGCTGGGACTACAGGCACATGCCGCCACACCTGGCTAATTTTTTGTATTTTAGTAGAGATGGGGTTTCATAGTGTTGCCCAGGCTGGTCGCGAACTCCTGAGCTCAGGCAATCCACCCACCTCAGCCTCCCAAAGTGCTGGGATTACAGGCGTGAGCCACTGCACCCGGCCTATTTATTTATTTTGAGATGGAATTTTGCTCTTGTTGCCCAGGCTGGAGTCCAATGGTGTGATCTCAACTCACTGCAACCTCCACCTCCCGGGTTCAAGCAGTTCTCCTGTCTCAGTCTCCCGAGGAGCTGGGATTGCAGGCATGCGCCACCACGCCTGGCTAATTTTGTATTTTTAGTAGAGGTGGGGTTTCACCACATTGATCAGGCTGGTCGTGAACTCCTGAACTCAGGTGATCCACCTCAGCCTTCCAAAGTGCTGGGATTACAGGTGTAAGCCACTGCACCCGGCCAACATGAACTTGATTTAATTCATTTACAAACCTCTAGAAATGAATATATAAATGACCTGAGCTTATATATGTTTTGAACAAGTAAGGAGATCACCAAATACAGTTGGGGGAACTTCAGCTTGCCTGTAGGTGTGTGTTGTGTTCAGTGGGGGTGGGGAACTGAATTAAAGTCCTGGCTGTGGCTGGGTCCCCAGGAACAGGCAGCAGGTGTCAAACGGATGGGTTAGATGAATAAAAGGCAGTCCAAACAAATAAACTTGACATAGAATTTATCAAGAATCTTGTGTGTTTATGACTACTCCTGAGTAAAACAACTACCATTTGAAATAAAAGACATACATAAGTGGGAGGCGGAGTGTCATTTTCCTATTTGAAGAATGATAAAGATGAAGCTGCCATAAAAACTGCAGTTGATTTAAGTCAGCCCTAAACAAGTTACAGCACTATCAGTAGGTTCATTATGAACCGCAGACACTGACTGGGATTGTTTTCTCCAATCATCTTTGACTAAGATGATACAAGATTACATAACTGTAAACTTTTACCTACACAAGGTATTCTAAAGTTTAGTCATCTTGCTTACTTTCTTTGCATGATTATTTTGCTTAATTGTAAAATATCAAATGTAATCAGGTTTTTAAGAAACCCCATGCAATCTGCAGTTAAATATTTAAAACAAGAAACCAGCTCCAGGAATACATCCAATAAAATGAGTGCTAATTTAATGTGTGTAAAGCACGGAAAATTTCATAGCCTTAGCTTTGAAAATGCACACAAATTGATATACCGTCTTTCTAATATTAGGCTACTTTTTAACATAAGGAGGAAGTCAAATCAAATCTCTAAATAGGAAAATTATTCTGGACCTGAATCTGTATACCAAGGAGGAGCATAGCACCTTCCTAGAGTCATCACTGTGCTTTGAGATGTTGCTTAACCACACAATTTAGGGAGTTCTTGGAAGCCTTGATGGTAATGACATCATTTTGTATTAAAGTATGGGAGGCTCCTGAATTCTCCAGCTGTTTTTCCCCTAAGCATCTAAACTTAAGAATTTATTTTCAATATTGAGTCAGAAAATTCATTTTAGAGTTGGAATTTCTGACTTCTTGCTGAAATTTACAAATCTTTTGAGAAGTTCTGATTCAGCAACCAAAATTTAAAGGAAAACTCAGTATAATTTTTACAGTGAATTTTTTAACAGGGGTTAAAGAACGTTGCAAGAGCCACCTGAATTCAGCTTCCCTTCCAGTAGTCCCCTTAGGCGAAGCATTGGTGGCAACTTTCCAAACATGTTGACATTGGCATGTGCTGTTTTCTTTCCAGAAAAAATAATGAGTGTGTCTTTTTACTGTATCTGGGTGCGGAAGTTACCCCATACATTTTTAAAAGTCCATCAGCTTAGAAAAGAACTGTTCAGTCATTTGAACAGACCATCCTGAGCCAGACGTTTAAGTAACAGTTAATATCTGTTTTCATAAATAACAAATAGTATTTTGATCCTGACTCAGAGCAAAAGTGAGTGAAATAGAAAACCATGTGGACTTTCACTGAAAAGCTGTGGGCACTCCCAAACCAGTCCACATACTATTCCCCCTACCTGAAACACCCTCTTCCTCCATTCCACGTGTCTTAAGGTGTAGCTCAAGTCTCAATATAACCTTTCCTCCCCACTGCAGCACTTCTGGCCTTTTCAGATATTAGAGTTGCAAGAATCCAGAGACCTTCTTGTTCAACCCTTTGTTTTCCAGTGAAGCAGGGGTTAAATGACTCATCTAAGGTTTTTCTTTCCTTTCCATTAATCTCTCACAGCATTTGTTATCATTCTCTCAAAGTAGATGGCAAGCTGTCTGAAGGCAGTTTGTTATATACATCTTTCATCTTCCTCTGCCTGGAACAAAACTCTATTCTTAAGTCACTCAATAAATATTTGATAATAATAGGCTTAAATATTTAGAAGATAACCTATTCAGAGAATACTCACATGGATCTATGTTCTGAAGTTTTAAAAGGTAAGCATTATGGGACGGGCACAGTGGCTCACACCTGTAATCCCAGCACTTTAGGAGGCCAAGACAGGCGGATCACTTGATGTCAGGAGTTCGAGACCAGCCTGGTCAACATGGAGAAACCCTGTCTCTACTAAAAATACAAAAAAATTAGCTGGGCGTGGTGGTGTTAGCCTGTAATCCCGGCTACTCAGGAGGCTGAGGCAGGAGAATTGTTTGAACCTGGGAGGCCAAGGTTGCAGTGAGCAGACATGGTGCCACTGCACTCCAGCCTGGGTGACCGAACAATACTCCATCTCAAAAAAAGAAAGGAAAAGGTGAGCACTGTGTTGGACTAAAGCTGTGTGAGACCATTATTGCAAAACAGGGCTGTCTCACCCTTGTTATCACTTACATTTTCTTTTGCTTTCCTACATAACTTTCCGTTCTTCCTGTCCCACATGTGTTCTGATTTTTACTATTTTGTGTTAGAACTCTGCTCATTGGTGTGAGGATAGTGACTTGAGAAGGCTGGTGTTGGTATGCCTATTTGAATCAAGCTCACATTGAATGTGTAACAGCCAATGATCAGTCCTCAAAAAGAGGACCCCCATAGCAATTCTTTCCTTCCCTCTTAACCATGTACCATTTCTATACCCTTTGGAAGCCTTTCCTCAGCCTGGCATAATTCTGTACAGCCTTCCAGTCTGCTGTGACACTTCATTTTCCAATGTTGTTCCATTACCAGTAGCTCTCCTAGGAACCTTCTCCTGGTCACCAGTCAAGACTTAGTGATAGATTTGGGGTAGGTTCAAGTCAGTATAATCTACTGTGAAACACCCGGTACAAGACCATGGAAAATGAATGCACTATCATGCACTTTAACACTAGCAAAGAAATTATTCATGTGGGCTGTCTGTATCTGGGTGAGATGCAAAAACTTGAAAGATACCTCTCTTGGTCAGGGTGCAATGACTCAAGCCTGTAATCCCAACACTTTGGAAGGCCAAGGAGGGTGGATTGCTTGAACCCAGGAGTTCAAGACCAGGGTTGGCAACATGGTGAAACCCTGTCTCTACCAAAATACAAAAATTAGCTGGGCGTGGTGGCACGTACCTGTAGTCCCAGCTCCTCAGGAGGCTGAGGTAGGAGGATGGCTTGAGCCCAGGGGTCGTAGACTGCAGTGAGCTGAGATCGCAACACTGCACTCCATCTTGGGTGACGAGAACCAGACTCTGTCTCAAGAAAAGGAAAAGAAAAATACCTCTCTGTACTCTACTTTGAAATATGGAAAGTTGGTCTCCATGCAAACCCATGT